ATAAATAAAACACATGGGCTCTGGGGATTGAACTTCGGTCCATATGTTTGCAAGGTAAGCACTTTATTGACTGAGCTATTTCCCCATACTTCAAGTTCAGTTCTGGTTCAGTCTTTAACATAAGTGCTTTGACTTATGAGCATGTTAATACATGTAGCAAAATTCATCATTTCACTTTGCTGAGTTTTTCTGCTGTAGTCATTGTCTCTTTCCTGCAGAAGGTCTCTGTCTGCTACCCCTGCTGGATCTACAGGACCAGATGCCTCTTGTCCTTTACCTTGCACCCCTTTCCACATGTTTATTGCTAAGGTCAAAGGTATAAGACAGAAAGAGTTGGGACTACACAAAGGAAAAGAAAAGTAGCTAGATAAAGAAACTGGAGCAGAACTTGAAATTCTGATCACACGATGCTTTGTGAAGTGCCCTGCTTTCTTGCAACAGCAGTAAGACACCGGTCACGCTTTATTTGTGCTGTGAGCCTCTTATCTTCAAGCCCAAAGCAGTTCCCAGAGTTTCCAAGGTTGGAATCAGTGTTTTGTGTTTCTTTTCAAAATATCCACAACAAATCAAATGTACTCCTTGCGCGGGTTTGGAATTAGCCATGGTACAGCTAATCTGTGGGATTCTTAACTGTTCTCTCCTCCCTCTGTCCACACAGCTGGTTTCTGCCATGGCCTCGTCAGAGCACAGAACATATATCACATGTACACATGCACACGCTCCTCCTTCATGTCCTTCCATTCCTTGAATTATGTACTCTTCTGCAAATACGAAATTAAGTGCACTTTAATCTATGACTTTCTCACGAATTTTTAAGATGCTATGAAAGAGCACTTTAAAACTCTGTGAGATTATATACCTGTTCACCAGGTCATAGTTTTCACCAAGTTCACACTTTCTAAACACATTTCTCACCCTGATGGCTATAGTGCCATCATTTGCAATGTACACATGTACACTTCCTACAGATTGCCAAGCCTGGCCTTTGAGTTTTCCTGGTTACAGGGGAAGGTGGACCCAGATACAGCCTTGCTTTCTCAAAGTTGCTCACTGCCTTTGGCTGTGCAGCTCTGTTCTTCCTTTGATGATAGTTACAGAGACCCTGCTACACAGTACAGATGCTGGATTTTCAATTCAGATTTAGTTCCATAAGACCTCCAGGAAACAGTTTGAAATGCGAATTCTGCTTGTTATTCTGAATGTTCTTCTTTCTCTTCTTAGGCATTCCAGTGTCTCTCAAAGGCGTACAAATGTGACACACAATCCAGTTGTTGGGAGAAAGATGTTGCATCATTTAAGGAAGTGGTTGAGAGAGCCTTAGGACTTGCACATGGTATTTGATATCCATAGCATATTTTAATGTATTCTTTACTGATAACATAATGCTAGTCAGAAATCAAGTTCCATTATAGAAACTTTCAGATTATTTCAATATTATTAAAATTGTATTTAATTCAGAAAACATTTATAGACTGCCTGTTAACATAATGGGCACATTGGTCAAATAAGAAGAAACACGATAGAGGCTTAAATACTGTCTAAGTAAATGATAGAATCAGAAACCTTAAAGATGTGAACTACCTTTATAACTAAGAAATTTCATTTCATGCAGTGTCTTTGTTGGTTACGTAGTATTAAGAAAAATTATACCATTTTTTGATTCATAGTCTTCCTTTATAAATAGAAATATTCTTGGACTGGGATTACAGCTCAGTGATAGTGCTTGCCTTGCATGTGTGAGGCCCTGGGCTTCTTAAAAACTAAAAACATCAAAACATGTAGATCTCTGGAGTACTTAGCAATATACAAAGAACTATGGCAAATACAAAAGAAATACAAAATATAATCCCTGTCTAGGAGAAATTTAGAGTCTATAATTTGTAGAGGAGATAACCTTACATATAAAATTTTTTGCTTATCAGGTTATATTTACAGGGGAAGACTATTTTTACTTATTAGCATTATTGAAAAATACCTGTTAAATTTAGACATGTATTTTGCCTTTTTTATATTTTTATTTGAATATGGGTGCATGATTCCCTGGAAACCTCGGGGTTAAGAACTGAATCCCAGGGGCTGTGAGCCTCCTGAAGCCTGCTTAACTCTCTGCCTGGCTTTTCTGCCACTAATAGTGACAGCAAGTAGGAGATAACAAAGACCATGAACAGGACAGAGAAACGGGTACTAAAGCCAGGACCAGCTCTACTGCGTGCTTGCTGGGTGATTTTGGGTTGATGAGTTAACTTCTTTGAGCCTTTGTGTAGTTGTAAGTAAAATGAGAGAATACCTGCCTATGCTGTTAGGGAGATTAAGTAAGATCATTTCAACCCTTGTAATACTGTACCCGTGGTTTAAATGTAAATCTTTCACCCTCCTACCTGCACCCTGTTTCTTTTGATGTGCAGGATCTGGTCTATATGATAAGGGACTCAAAAAGAGAAGAACGGGGGTAAAGCATAGCTGGCTTGTAGAGAAGTCACAGAACATTCAAACGGTTTAGATATGGGCTTGGGAGTTAATAATTGTACTTATGGCCTTTGATATCCTTAACTGGAAGAATATAAATGTGCAGTTTCCGGAACCACCTAGCCATTGGCAGATAAGGTAGCGGGGCTGAGGTCTGTGTGGCTGAGCTGTAGAAAGTTTGGGTAATTACTGGAATGACAGGAGAAGGCTGCTCTGGGGGTGGCCGCACTTCTGTGACTTGTGATGGCCTTAGTAGGGAAGCCAGGGGCTCAGGGGAAACCACACTAAAGTGTATTATGTATGTAATTAGCAGGGTGGGATTTGCTTTGAAGAGTATCTTATCTACTCCAGCTTGACCACTCTAAACACTTCTATGAACAGCCAGCTCTGCAATGGTCAAAGTCAAGATATTTTCTGTAATCACTAGGTGCTGGTATTAAACCTGTCAGCTATAAATATGCAGGTTAGGTTAGAAAAACACTCCAGAAAAACAACCTTTATTTTACAGCTTGACATTGGTTTTAAATTGTTGTTGGCACTGTTTTTCATTAGGACAACTCTTTGGGAGAAGACAAGTGTCTATTCTTTGAAGTTTTCCTTCTTGTACTTTAATGGGTTATGTGTTGTTATTTCAACATTTAAAGCAGATTGAGTAGATACTCAGCTTTAATTTAAATTTATAAAGATAACTCTTATTTTTGTCTTTTTTGCATCTGTATGCGAGTGCTCAAAAAAAGAACTGGGTTTCTGTGATTCCATTCTCTCTTTTTTCTTTCTCCCCAAACACTGTTACCTTATATCACCCAGCTTTGAAAAGGAAGTATAACATTTTCTAAATCTTTGCCCGCTATTGGGTTGCTAATGGTAAGAGTGGCCATGAACTTTTGAGATGACATGGCCATCCTGACTTGGCAGGGAGACCTTCTGTTGCACTGCTGCCCTGTGTGCCTGTTTGCATCGTCTGGAGAAGATTCATGTACAGTTTCTGCAGTTCTGGGAAAGTGTGGACAAAACTGTCTTGTTCTTTGCCTTCTTGGAACTTTTAAAATAATGGTTTTCCCTGTTAGCTATAGTTGGCAGGAAGGAGGCAGCACTTTCTTGAATTATCTGATGGTTTGAAACAGCAGGTTACTTCTCCCTCCCTCTTCCCCCTTCCTACCTCTCCCATCTCTTTTCTCTCCCCTTCTCCTTCCTCAGAATGAGAGGATTAAAAAAACAAAACAAACACACACAAAAACCCACAGCTGCTTCTGATAAAGCTACTATGTATTAAGCGACCTGAGCAGGTCTACCATGGTAGTTGCATCTTCCCTCTGCTAAGAAACATACATATAATCCTCACTATCTCTGGGTTAGCTGAGCCCTCTGAAAATGGGTTTAGCATTGCTAATTAACATGCATCCTTTCTTCCATTAACTGAAAATTGTTGAAGTCTAATGTTACTGTGAAATAGAAACATCAAGTCTTAAAAATATCAGGTCTTACTGGCCGCAAATGATATTAATAATGTCAAAGCTATTTTGCCAGGCACAGGAAGCTTCTACTGATTGTCTAGGGTATGTAGTTCACTTTACTCCTTGAACTACTTAGTGTAGTTTTAAAGTAGAATCTGAGCTTTTGAATTTAGTGAACATCGTTTTAAGAAACAAAATGGAGAAAACGCAGGCGTTTATTTGTACAGAGCTCTTCATCCTTACAGAGAACCTCAGCAGCCAGCCTTCCCCAAGGGAGGGGGAGGAGGATGTTCTCTTCAGAATTTCAGGCTGAAGGGAAACAAGTTCCCTGGAATGCTGGAGGCAGAGTTTTCAGGGATGAATGACTTCCCTGCTGATGCTGGATGTGGCTCTGGAGTGGAGTGCCTGGCTCTGAGCACTCTCCTAAACGAGGCCATACACATTGTTGGTGCCAGTTCTCCCACAGTGCTTTAAAACTGGGTATAAAAGTGCAGTAAGCACTGAGCGCTCTGTTTCTGGCACGTCACTTTCTTGGGCTGGTGTGATCAGCAACAATGCGTCCTCCATGGTGACTGGGACCATGAGCTGTGCTACGTGTGTTCTGGTTCACTATGGGTGTCTTGCCTTCAGTAAGGTTTTCTTTGTTTGTTTCTTCACCTAATCACTAGTGTATGTCCATGTGTACAGACACAGGTGTGTGTGTGAGTGTAGGATCTCTTCTGATGATCTATAACTAACCAAAACCCACCTAGGTTCCTTTTAGTAGTGAACTTCATAACTAAAGAAGGGTAGAGGTGTAGCTTAGTGGTTGACAAGTGTTTGCCCAGTGTGTTCAAGGCCTGGGTTCCCCAGCACCACCAAGAAAAAGAAAGATAAAAGGAAGAGTTAGGGAAGTATACATAATTACTATTTTTCAAAAACAAAAACTTCCAGGTAGACATTGTTTCTGAGTTGGTTATTGTAAAATTCTGATGAAGTAATTGGTTTTTGTGCCTGTAAGTGATCATTACCAGTTCTTCCTAGTGTTTCCCTGTATTTATCTTGCAGTGGCTATAAAATGCAGTGAAAGCAAATCCAGGCCCCAAGAAGCTGTTCAAGTGCTTTCTTCAGCTCGACTCAATTTACGGGGCCTGCTGTCCAAAGCAAAGGTGAGACTAGTGTTTGTGTTACCTAGAACTGTGGGTAAGAGGCCATCAGCCTCAGCTTACTGCTCCTTTAAAATTTTTTATTACATTTTTTATTCTTATTTTGTGTGTGTGAGCGTGCGTGTGTGTGTGCGTGTGTGTGTGTATTCCGCAGAGCATGTGTGGAGGTCAGAGGACAACTTGCAGGATTCAGTTTTCTCTTTCCACTATGTGGGTCCTAGGGATCAAACTCAGGGCAAATGGTTTAGCAGCAGGCACCTTTACCCACTGAACCATCTCACTGGCCTAGCTCATGGCTCTTGAACTTTGTTTTACATAAAGACTTTGTTGCTGGGGAGATGACTCACTTGGTAAGGTGCTTGCCATGTAAACATCAAGACCAGAGTTCTATCTCCAGAATCCATGTTTTTCAAAAAAGCCAGATGTGGTGGGACATACTTGTAATGCAGCTCTGAGTAGACAGAGTCAGGCAATTCACTGGGGTTTGATGGCCAGCCAACCTAGCTGACCTGACAACTTCCAGGCCAGTGAGACACCCTGTTTCAGAAAACAAGGTGGATGGCACCTGAAACAACCCCGAGGGTTGACCTCTGGTTTCCCGTATGTTTGTGTGCACATGTACATGCACATCCTCACAGAGTGTCCCCACATCTTCCAGGAATGAACACTCACACATGCATGCATGATTTTGATGTAATTAAAAAACAGCACAGATAAAAATGTTGAGTAGTTTTTGGAATATGAATTTGACAGAAATTGTCAAGGTAGATGGCTGACTCATATTTGACAGGTAAAATCTGCTGTCCACTTACCAGTACCAGCCAGTGCTGGAATGCGGTGCCAAGAGTCACCTGGGGAGCTTTTCTGAGCTCTGGATTCTTGAGCTCTGTCTATGGCAGATACAGATTTCTAGTCTGGGTTGGGGCCCAGGAAATCTGTTAAAAGTTCCAGGTGATTCTAATGGGGAACTGAGTGTAGAGTGTATCCCGGGAAGCAAATTGGAAGGACTATGACTTTGATCACAGCTTTCATTACTTACTTTCACCACTTTGTTTGATTGCAAACTTATTTTTTGTGGCACATGGAAGCTACTTCTTGGACAGCTTTTTTCCTATTTGAAAAACAAAACAAAACAAGAAACCCTCCAGTCCTTTTTTAGTTTTGTTTTTGTTTTGGTTTTTTTTGGTTTTCTTGAGACAGGGTCTCCCTGTATCCCCAGCAGTCCTGGAACTCACTATGTAGACCAGGCTGGCCTTGAACTCACAGAGATCCGCCTGCCTCTGCCTCCCAAGTGCTGGGATAAAAGGTGTGTGCCACCACACCAGGCTTGGTTTTGTTTTTGAGATAGGGTCTCCCTGCAGCCCCAGGCTGCCTGGAACTCATTACATAGACCAGGCTGGCCTCCATCTCACAGAAATCCACCTGCCTCTGCCCACTGTACGCTGGGATCAAAGGTGTGTGCCACCAGTCTTTTCGTTATTAATTGCTTGATCTTTTCAGATTAAGGCATCATTTTGCTTCTGTAGATAATTAACTTACTGTATTTCCCCCCAGTTTGTCTTAGAACCCTTGGAGCTCTTAAGTCAGCAGCAAGCTTTCCCATGACTTTCCCCCAACTTGGGAGCTAAATTGTCTACTTTTGAATAGCTCACCAATGCATTTTTAATTGTCTCTGTGGGATATACCCCTCTGCATGTCCTGTACCTCTCTGCAAAGCTTTTTCTTGTATGTTACTAGCTTTGCTGGTCAGTACCTTGGATCAGTAGTATGTTTGTGCATATCCTGCATATGCGTCTATACTGTGGGAGAGTCCCAGGGTCAGAGAGAGAAGCCTCAGACTGTCAGCTATGTTAGATTGTTTTTTCTCATTAGTTCCAAACTTGATCATTGAAAAATGGAGAGAACTGCCTCTGCATCTCTCCTTGGAAGCTGTGGTGTCTGCAAGTCTCTGGATTGGTAGCAGAACAAAGGGTTTTTCTGTTTTTTAATTGGATTTACTAAACTTAAGTGTACTTTAAAAAGTGAAAATGAGTTGAAGTAACTATGTTAAGAGCTTAGTTCACACAGATCCCTCCTTTTGCCTGGCCAGGGACGACACAGAAATAAGCTCCTGGACCCCTCCCCCACTGTAAACAAATGCCTTATTCACACACACACACACACACACACACACACATACGGGCCACGCCCTCTCCTGACAGGGTGGCTCTTCTCCCCTCAGCACCTTGTACAGGGATGCCGCCCAGGGTGCTGTGGGAAGTAGTTTCTCCCCACTTTCTCCTTACCTCATTGAGAAGGAATGTAGGTTCTTTAGGATTTGTCTACTGTGATTCCTAGTTTGAAAATATGCTGTGTAAGTCCAGGTTATTTTCCTAAAAGATGTTTTCTCTTCTGACTCCACTGCAGCAGTTCTTGGGTCATTCTGTTAGAAAATGCTGTGTGAATCTTCTAGTCAAGTCTGATGAAAAAGATATATAGCATGCCAAATGAATTGTATGCCTGGCTAAAACACAGTGACACCCATGCCTGTTTTTGCACACGTGCATGGAACCCCCGTGAATGGTCACAAACCCTAAAGCTGATTCTCTTGGGTGCCTGTCCCTTTATTGGCTTCGCAGGCAGCCCTGGAGAGAAACTGCAAGGAGGTTCCAGCTCTGGTGGTATTTACTGGCTGTGCATGAACCTCCCGAGCAACTCCTTCTCCAGGGAGCATATGCTCATTCTTACTTTGTTTCACTGGGCTCTGTTCCTTATAAGAGTTTGGTAATCTTTGTGTGCTCTGAGGCCTACGTGGAAATCAATTTTTAAATATTTTTATATATTATTTTTATTTTATGTGTATGTGTGTATTGCCCGCATGTAGGTAAGTACACTTGTGTTGTGCAGTGCCCACAGAGGACAGAAGAGGCTGTCAGATCCCTTGGAAATGGGGTTATGGACAGTTGTTATCTGCCATGTGGGGGCTGGGATTCGAACCCAGGTCTTCTGCCAGAACAACCAGTGTTCTTAACTACTGAGCCATCCCTCCAGCCCCCAGAAATTAATTTTTAAATAAGTAGATTGAAGGTCTATCTTTTATGAAGTTGAATATAAAATATGTTCTGTTTGGATGAATAATGCCCATTCATTCAGAACTGTTGTGTAACACTGAAACAACCAACCAGACTTTAAGGCAGTTGCTATGAAGAACAGAGCTTTTTTTTTTTCTTTTGTACCAAGGATTGAACCTGAGGCTTTCCACCTGCTAGGCACGTGCTCTACTACCACCAAGCTATAGCCTGAGAGCCTTGAGTTTATAAGTTCAGGCGTATTGTTTAGATTTGTTACCTAATCACTACAGCTTGTACATTTCTGGAGTGGTAAGCAACTACTGCCGTTGTTGCTATAGTACTAGACTAATAGTGTGCAAAGAGCATTTTAATTGTTTCCTCTACCCATTTTGCTTAGAAGAAATTTTCACTATTTATTTACTTAATTTTATTTTATGTATATGAGTGTTTTGCCTGCATGTATGTAAGTGTATCAAATGTATGCAATGCCCACAAGATAGAACAGGGAGTTGGGTCCCTGGAACTGGAGTTACAGACAGTTGCTAGCCACCATGTGCTGGGAATTGAACCTGGGTCCTCTGCAAAAGCAGCCAGTGCTCTTAACCTTTGAGCTATCTCTCCAGCTCCAAAATTTCCATTATTTTGATGTTTATACTTTGCTTTTATGTTGCAGCAAAATTTTACAGATGTGGCAAGTGGAGACATTTGCAGAGAGTTAGCAGATGAAATGGCAGCAATGGATGCTTTGGTAGCAGAGCTGCAAGACCGAAGCAACCAGTTTCGGAATCAGTACTGACCATGTGGAAGCAGCTTTTGGCAAAGGTGCTTTTGCCTTCTCAAATCCTGATACCTGTATAGCTGAAGCACGAGCTACTGATTTTTACAATAAATTTGTTTGGTGGTTAAAGTTCTTATTTTGTGATATTTTCAGTTATTTTTACTTCTGACGTACATTAAACAGAAGGTTATTTCTTTTGGTCCAGTTATTGGTAAATTCAGCATTTCTATTCTTGCCATATTTCAACACAAGGAACAAATAACTTAGTCTTCTTTTTAGCATACAGATTATTCTCTTGCAGTCTAGCATGAATTGCATCACTCTGTAGAAAAACTCAGTATAAACAGGAGAAAAAAAGTCAGATATTAGAAGTTTGTGGAATCATTAGTTTGGCTACATTTGTGTTCAAGAATGCTAAAAGACTGGACTTGGCAATAGAAACATTTACACTTTTTGAGATTTTGTGTTTGTGTCACAAAGATACAGGCTTGGCTAAGCTGGAAATGTGAATTTGGTTTAACTCCTAAATCAAGAAAATGCAAGAAGCCAGACATGATGGCACACGACTTTAATCCCAGCACTTGAGAGGCAGAAACAGGCTGTTTCTATGAGATCCAGGTCGTCCAGATCGGCAGGGGCCTCAAGAAGACCCTGTCTCAAGAGAAAAAGGAAGGAAGGAAGGAAATAAATTATGGGCAAAGACAGCTATAAACGGTGCCATATTACAAAAACGACAGAGTGAAATGCTTTCTCAGTAATGTGGATGGAAACAAACATTGAAGGCAGCAGCTGAGCTTAACAATCTCAGCACAAAAGCCATGTGAGGGACTCTCAGGCTCTGGCTTGGACTGCTGAAGTTGCGATCCCATGCATAAGTCACCCATCCCTTGTAGTTTTCCATGTTCTTGTTTATAAGATGTAAAGTAGTAGAGCAGGAGCAGGAGTCGCTGCTTCTGCTTTCTGGTTTCAACCACCTCTGGAAAGTCAACATTTCACAATCTAAATATAAAGTAGTCTGAACACTTAAAAAGTCTTTTAAAAATTCTTTCATTAATTATGAGTGCTTACCAGTTCTAAACAATGTTATTTCCTTAACCATCCACATCTCTTTTCTATTATCATACTGGCCTTTAAAGAGAAAGTATGTCTCAAAGAAGTTTTTCCTGTAAAAGAGACAGTATTATTGAAAAAGTCCAGTAAGTGAGGTGGTAGCAGGTGTTAATAGAGACTATTTTAATCTTTAGGGAAGCCATTGAGGAGTGGGCGGGCAAATGGATAGTGGGCAGATAGGGGGATGGTTGGTGGTGGGTGGCAATGGATGGGTGGAACAGGGTTCTAAATGAACGTTTTGTCAGTACCCAGCCAGCAACTGCAGTGGGTGAAAAAGAAGTGGTAGAAAAGAAACACTGAGAAGCACAAGTATTTCGGGAACCAAGTGCAAGGCCAGAGCTCTACGTTTGTTCTCCCTGGGTTCACTGTAGAATGCCAGCAGTGTTGGAAGCAGTTTCTCCTGTGGGCCATTGCTGTGCTGGGTGGGTCACAGTCTACACGAGGCTGATCCATTCTCTTATTATAGGGTGTTTTTACAAAGGAGAGCTATTGAGGTTTTCTTTTAAGGAACATAGACTAAAAATAAAACTAACTGGAGTGAGGTGAGCTTGGAGGTGGAGTTTCACCTAGCTTCAGATTTGATCATGAGTATCTGTTTGTCAACGGTTCTGTATAGATTACTGGAGAGTTTTGTGTTGATCTATTTTGGCTAAATACAAATATATCCAAATGTCTTTTTCTTGTAGTTTCAACTTTGGTTTTCTAGTATCAGTGTCTTTTTTCAGAATTATTCTTTTGCTTTGCCAATTACAAAAATAGAAAAGATGTGATCCTCTAACTTTATTGAGTTCCCACAGTATGGATAGTAACAGCAGCAGCAACAAGAAGTCACCAAGTTCCCATCATGCCATAGTCATCATCTCTCCCCTCCAAGAGCCCTCCTAGTCAGTGCTTATCATCCCTAGGAAACCCAGGGTCACAAGAAAAGAGAAATAGGCGGAACCCAAAGCCTGCGTCTTCCCTGCTTGCTGTACTCAGCAAGTAGTCAGCTGAGTTGTCTTCTGACAGTGGCGTACCTTGACAGTTTGCTTTGTCTTCACTCAGAGTTCTCCAGGAGAATTCTGTGAGGTCTTGGTTGACAATAGCTCGTGATTCTTATGATTATTTACTCTTTTAAAAGGGTATTAATAAATTCCTTGTTAGTGTTTTTCCAAAGAGGTACCATCATATAGAGTAGTGAAAATGAACTCCAGTGGAATGAGATCCCATCTCAACACCCAAGCCAAACCTCAGGAAGCTTAGAGTGCTGCTGCCCAGCCTGGGAGGCAGAGCTATGATTAAGGAGGGCTGTGGGCTCAGAACCACAGAACCCCATTTGATGATTGAAGCCCATTTAAGGGTGGAGGGCTTGGCCCTGCCTCAAGTGAAGCCTCAGTACAGTGGTGAGAACCCCAAACATTGAGGGCTGCCTTGGTTTATGCTGGATATGCTGTTAGTGTGTCATTCATTCATAGATGTGTAAAACAAATGGTAACCAGTGTGTGTAGCAATCCACCCATTTTCCAAACCTAGTTCAAAAATTATGGCATACCCATAACTGGGATTATTTGTGACCGTTCATCTAATTTATATAACTACATCTACCAGTTTAAAGTCATGGTTGAATTTGATGAAGTGTGTGTGTGTCTGTCTGTCTGTCCATCCCTGAGTCCCCCCCCCCCATTTTTCTAACATCCACATCAATCTAAATTGCTGTTTAGATAAGGCAGCTCAACTTTACTGGCCAAGAGTGAGGAATAAAATCTGTTAAGTGGATACCCTGTACTTCCTTTCTGCCTGTTCATTCACAGGCCCTATAGTGAAATAGCAAAGAGTCTTTATTCAAACGGTGGGTGCCATGCTGTGGAAATACAGATGGATTTTTCACAACATTGCAGAAGTGCTTATAAATAGATAGGTTTCAATCAACAAATAGCTTATTCAGGCATGCGTTCAAATATAGTAGCTGCATTCATTAGACAGATATTTCTACTAATCCCAAGACTATACTAATAAAAGAGTAATCCCTCATCGGCTGAAGGTAGCCTTTCACTCTTTCACAGTCCAAAGCCTAATAATAATTGTAGCTGCATTTGGTTTTCACCAAGTGAACTTAAAAGCTGAGTTTATCTTGAAATGTTTCCTTTAGTTTTTCAGATTGCAGTAGCTTAGTAAGCAGAGGTACTTTTTACTCTAGATATGTGGCTTATAGCAAAGCCAAGTTAAAACTCAATGGCCTGTGCAGTTGGGAGTGTTCTCAGGACTATGGCAGAACACACTTTCTCTTTCCCTCTGGTTGATAGAGAGTGTTTGCTTGGGTAGATTCTGTTTCACCTTTTCCTTTGACCTTAGGATAAATAACAAGTTAATAATCCATTCTGAGACTCTTTGCAAACTCTCAGTATCGTAGTTTGACTTTCTGTTTGCACGATTTTTTCCCTTGGGCTTGGCTTTGTTCAACAGCTCTGTCCTCCTCCCATATTATGCAGAGCAAGTTGTAATTAGTTCACTTAACACAACACCAAAAAATTTTCCCTTGTCAGTGATGTCAGATCTGCCTTCCTTTTTATTATTCTGACTTATAAACTGCAGTGACCTGTGAGTCAACCTCACCATCTCCTGGCCATGTGCCCACATTGTGATCTCTGAAAAGGGAATCCTGCCAAGGGCTACAAGGCGGAAAACTGATATTATTAAATGGTCTTCTGAATGGTAAGTCTCAGCCATTTTTTAATCTTTTGTGATGTTATTGCCAGAAAGGGGTGAGGGGAGGTAAATCATCGTAATGTTTGGGAGCTAACCCACGCATTGCTAACTTTTTCCAGACTAGGGGTTCAAATGACTATCAGTATCTGCAGACATACAGAGTTACTACACGGTGCTGCTTATACACAGACACATGCTTCTTGAAGATTCTTGTTATGGTGAGGCTTAGATACATATAACCTCCTTGAGTCTGTTTTCTTATCCAGTGCCTATTAGTGATCTATATTGCATAGAACTATAATAATAAAATCCATCAAGAAGCTGCATGTATAGGAATTTGGAGATTTTAAAAAATGTAATAGATAACAGTGCAAATGAGTATCTTAGGGAAACCACTTGATTATAAACACTGACACCGTCTTTGCTGTTCCCTACTTGAGATCCCCATGACCTCTAGTGCTGCTGGGCCATGACACCAAAGTGTTGCTATTCTCAGCGTTTTCCTCCTACGTCAACCTTTCCCCTATTTCTGGGCTGAATGTGGGGGTGAGAGAAGGGACAAACTAAAATGTATGATAAGTTTTTATGAAGCGAAGGTGGAAAGCCCAAGTTCCTATCATCAGGACTTCAGAAAAGGAAAGAGAAATGATGCTAGGGGTGACAAGCAGAAGTGGGTTTGGGAGCCTGGGAAGGAGGTCAGGAGGAGCAGGAGCAGGGGGTGTGGGTATGCTGTATACATGTACAAAAATGCCACAGTGAAACCTACTAATTTGTACAATTAATGTGTTAAGTATGGTTTTTAAAAAGATGAGATGGTCAATTGGTTAGGATTAACTCAGGATTGGAAGACCTAGACTGAAATCCCAGGCTCATCACTCCCTAGCTGTGACCACATCTGAGGCCCTAAGCCTTAATTTCCTCAGCTATGAAATGCAAATTTCAAGCCTTGCAGAATAGACAGAATTTATCAGATGATGTGTGTGAAATATTTTGTGAGCAGTGACACAGTTAATTCTTGGTATGATCAAGAGAAAGGGGCATTGTTGATGGTCTGTCAGTTCCCAGAGGCTGTAGCCCCTGGGTGGGGTTAACCAGCAGCTTGGCTCCAGTTTCTGTAATCCCTATGGGGGTCATAACCTTGTATTTTGAGAAACAATGGTGCAGAATATCTTGGTATTCTGTGCTCTTCAGCACTATTTAGTGAAATCAGTTGGTCTCTAGGATGTCTGGTGCCAGGCCTGATAAATGCTGTCTTAGTAGTTTTACAGTTGCCTGGCCAGAGACCTGCTTATTGTGTTGGTCTCTCCCTTATTCCCTCCCTCCCTCCTTCCTCCCTCT